CATCAGCAACAGTCTACTGTAGGAGACAACAAAACAACTTCCAACTGAAGAGGGAATCAGAAAAGATGACGAAAGTGGATAGGGCATACATTGAGGAAATGATCACACTGCATCACAAGGCAAGCGCCAACTCGGAATCCTGAAGAGAAACAGAAAAGAGGAAGACAAAGGAACACACTGTGTCGAGAATTGGAAGAAGTGAGAAGGATGAATAGCAAATGGAAAGAATTTCCCAGGACAGAGGTGGATGGCGAATGCTGGTGGGCGGCCTATGTTACTCCACGAAAGGTAACAGGCATTCGTAACAAATAACACTAAAAACAAATAAAACACTATCAGTTGAATGGCCAGGCCGCAGCCCATTAGGCATTATCAAAGACCTTTTATCTTACTAGAACAACAAGAATTGGTCCAAAATCTTATCAGCTTAATCAAGTCTGTTTGGGATATTGGTCATTGAAAAGCGCGCCTCTGTGTCAGGTGCGTTGTGTGTTTTTTCCTCAAAGTATTTGCCATAAAGATCTGCGATGTTTAGAGATGTTTATAGATTTTAAATGCTTATCTATTCTTGTTGCTTGTCACCACACCGATTTTCTTTGGTTCATAATAAGATATATTAGTCACACGTATTCGTGTAGGAAGGGATAATAACTTTCGTCTGGTTGTCATACAAAACTCATTCATTGATGTTTCTTCCCTTTTTAAGGATCTCCATTTCTCATACCCTACCACCATTAAAGATATGAAAACGCGATTATTTTCAAATGGATGGGTTTCCTATGACATCACGATCATCTGTACGCATAGTTATGGTTCTTAGTCTATATATAAGTTGATATGGGAAGTTGCATCTCGTATTGATACTCGGAAGCTGGGCAAAAGTCTATATTTTAGGCTTTAGGTCAGACCTTGCAAGGTACAACGATGCCACGTGGTCACGGAGACTTATCTAGTACCACCACTTACGTAGGTGATGCAACATATGATTCACGGATTATAATTCAGTATCACAAACATTCAGTATACGGATTGCATTCAGGCAGATACTAGATCTTGTTTTTGCTGGAAAGTCAGAAAGCATTGCCATTGGAGTATTATTTAATACTCCAGCTTATTACTGGGTACATAACCTATCTCCTAGTACTTTGCGTGGTAATTGTATTGAATCCTTTGCGCAATAAGAAAATGTTCTAAATCGCTAGATGAGATTACAGGTAAGGGGTCGTAAGCATCCGGTGAGAAACCATGACACAATAAATTCATATTATCCTGTATCTATGTGTGTTCTGGCTTTGTTTAAGAGTTTAGTCTCTAAAAAGTCGTGCGAATTATTTTCTAAGTGTATCTGTAACGGAGAACGTTGCTACCCTTGACTTATACCACTTAATGTGGTCATTCCAAATGACTTATCATAAAATCTGAGTCAACTTACGACATTTAAGTAAAGATTCTTCAGTAATTTTACGTACTTTTTGGTAGCCCTGTAACGCCCGGGCAGTATCCCAGACCTCACACAAATCAAATGAGTTGTGTGGCCCATATATATTTGGTGCCCCCTTGTACCAATGTTTATGTGGTTAAATAAATAACGACAAATTCTGCCGTTTTTCCAACGAAACCAAATGTCACTTCACTCAGTATAGCATTGATTTATCGATTTATTTGAACACATAAATATTGGTACAAGAATGCGCCAAATATATATGCGCCACACAAAACAATGAGAATTTAAGGGGAAGGAGAAAAAAAAGAGATTGATGTAGAGTGATGTAATAATAAATGGCGGGACAGACAGGTACAATCAGAAGAAATCTTTCAGTTAAGGGAGACACAACCACTTTTTATGAAGAAAGTAAAAGAAGGTTACAGCAGGATCGCCACTGGCTTCTATTCTGAGCCATATCTGATAACGTCTCTAGCCACTGTGTCACACCATCTCTCGAACCCCAGCCAGGGAGTCGCGAAGGACCAACAGAAGCCAGTCCTTTGCAGCTTTCTTTCATCCCACGACTCCATGTCATATACTGACCACCTCTCCGCTTCTTCCAACCAGTCCCAGAGTCGGCAAATGCACGACGTGGAATTCTCTGGGACGACATTCGTAGAACATGTCCAAGCCACCGAAGTCGGTGTTTCAAGATGGTGACACCGATTGCATTATCGTCTCTGTGCCCGAACACACGATGCCGAACCTCTGCATTACTAACATGGTGTTGCCACTAGATGTCAGCAATCCTTCGGAGACAACGATGATCGAACACAGAGAGTCGTCTAACGTCCTCAACTCGGAGAGAACAGGTTTTACAAGCATAGAACAAAACTGCTCTCGCCGACGCGTTGTAAATCCGACCTTTTACGGCCAGACTAACATCACGAAGGCGCCAAAGATGGCCCAGATTGGTATAAGCCGCTCTGGCTTTCACTATACGTGCATTAATCTCATCACTCACACCCCCACCAGCACTTATGCTGCTACCTAGATACACGAACTTCTCGACTACTTTTATCTGCTCACCATCCAGGGTGAGTACAGGATTAGAATCCTGCCAGTCTCCTAGAAGTACTTTGCATTTCGAAGGTGCAAAGCACATACCATACCTACGGACACTGATTGCTAACTGATTAAGTGCGGATTGCATGGCTTTGGCATTATCGCACAGTAAGACAATATCATCCACATACTGAAGGTCGAGAAGTCTTTCTCCAGTAAACAGATCCACACCGCCATTACTTACATCCATCAGAGCTGTTTCCAGAATGTCATCGATGGCGAAGTTGAAGAGGAATGGTGAGATTGGGCAACCCTGCCTAACCCCACTGCTCGAATAGAACAATGGAGAAAGGTGGTTGTATGCCCTCACTCTGCCTGAGGTGTTTGCATATAGAGCCTTTAGGATGTTGATAAACTTTTCAGGCACACCCTTCTTCAATAGACAATCCCAGAGAACAGTCCTGTCCAACGAATCGAAGGCAGCCCTAATGTCAAGAAGCATTATGATTGTTGGCCTGTGATAAGTATGACGGTGTTCTAACATTTGGCGGAGGGTGAAGATATGATCAATACATCCTCGACCAGAACGAAAACCAGCCTGCTCCTCGCGAGTCTATCTTTCTCGGCTTTTGAACAACCTACGAAGTGTGACGGAAGCCAATAGCTTGGACGCAATCGGAAGTAGACTTATCCCCCGATAGTTAATACCGGAAAGACGTGAACCCTTTTTAAAGTTAGGGACAACTATCGACTCATTCCATGATGTTGGGACACTCTCTAGCTCCCAGACCTTTGTAAACAACGTCGTCAGTTCCTTAGTCAGAAGGTTACCACCATCTTTAAAAAGAGCCGGAGGTAAGTCATCTGGGCCAGGTGATTTGTAGCGCTTCAAGAGTTGGAGTTCCTTGCGGACTTCCACCTCATTTGGTGGATCAATCGTCACCGGCCATGAGGGCAGGACAGTCTGACCGATGTTGCCGGAGCAGCAGGCCAGTTGAACTGCCCTTCGAAAAATTCTGCCCATCGTCCAAGACGTCGATGGATGTTAGTGATTGGCATCCCATCATCCTCGTAGACTGTTTCGCTCACACCAGACTTCTTGCTGCCAGTGGCTCGGATGATTTGGAAGAGCTTCCGGTAATTACCAGATGCAGCTGCTGCTTCCAGCTCATTAGCACGCTTCGACCACCAGGCTTCTCGGTCCTTACACAAGCTTTGCCCAATTTCCTTACGTAACATCCTTCGTTTGTGCTGCCTCAGCTCTAGCGCTTAGTGCGACACCGACGCCAGCAACACCAGACGAAGATGCCACAGGGTCCCCGGATAAGTGCACGTAAAACAAGCTTTTCGAAGCGACAGATAGAGATCGAATTTGTAGTACTTCACCAGAGTCTTGAATACGGGTCTCGGATAGACAGCAAACATCAATATTAAGACTTTCCAAAGACATAGACAGCCCTATCTGTTGTCCGACCTTCATAAGTGTGCGAACGTTGAAGGCAGCCAGTTTGAATGCTGCACGTGGTTTCAGAAAAACAGCTTCAGGACTCATATTCGGTGGTAACATACAATTTTCAACCGGACAGTGACTCGAGAACATTTAGATACAGTCGAATTTCCACCATAGGCGAGCTGCTGTATAAGTCGAAAAATAAGAATACACAAAGTGGGAATGAAAGAGTGAATAAATGACGTAGTAAGTAATAATAATAATAATAATAATAATAATAATAATAATTTGAATCATTTGATTGTTAATCGCAGCAAGAAGAGTATTTTCTATAAATATAGACTTCATCATAATTGTGTGTGGGCTGTAATACTACCCGGGTGCCCAAACCGAAGCAGGTGGTTTTCTTAGGGGGCCACTCCCCGAGCCTTTGACTTAAAGGTCTGACCCACAAGGCACTGAAGCATCGTCAGGAGATGCAGTCCCATGGAAGCCGGTGACCAACAATTGGTTCATACGCCATTTGTTCCTTCAGGATACCGGAGCCCATATGCACCATTGCTTTGGAATCCGGTTAAAGCGCCGGACATTCGCTTTCCGTTCTCTCATTTTCGTAAACAACACCCACGCCACGAGAAGGCAGTGAGTAGGACTTCCCTGGCAGAGGCTATATACGCGTCACTGTGTGAAAGCATTTCGAGAGAGAGGGCGAGCCCACCCCACTGTCGGCCACACCAGGGCATTTGGGGGCAATTGCCTTCATGTTACCCTTGAGTTCATTCTCCCTTTGTGTTCATTTAGGTTATTCAGTTCTCTGAAATCAAAAACTAGTATTATTTCCAATTCTTAGTTCGCTTCATATCGTATTGAAATAAAATCTATGGGTTTTTTAAAGATCTTATTACTTTATTCTGTCATTGCTTTTACCTCGGGAATAGATGCGGGTTAGTTTCATCCCCAGTGTTGTCTAAATAACATTTCTCTGATATATAAAACCCTAATTTTTTCCGATTACACAGTCACAATCCCCCCTTGCATTACCAGTTCCAGCTGTAAATAATGAATTTTTCAAATGTACCGAAAGAACTCTCCCATCTGAACGTGTTCTTAAGATGTGCTTCGGATCACTCGGCGAAAGACCCCATTATCACATACTACTGTAAGTTTTTCACTTAGTCTCAACATATGATTCCTCAGGTCTCCTGCATGCATTTCAAAAAGGTTTAAGTATGATTCAAAAATCACCCCCTATCAAGGCATTTTTGACAACTCTCATGGATAAGTTAGAAGAATTAAAAAGGAGTAATTCAAACTGTGAAGAAATTGCGAATGAAACTGTTGGGATTCCTTATGTTGAACAGTATGCCCTCAAGTTGTTTGATGCTGCTTACCAGAGGGATATAAACTCCGACTTCGGACCGTACGTATGATATGATCTTTTAACAGGCTTAAGTGCTACTGTAAAATTATTTCTTTCAGCTGCTACACTCTTAGACGTTGTTTCTGGAGCTGGAGAAGTAGGTGATGATGTGAGCTATCATTTACTCATCCGGTGATATACTTTTTTCTAATGATAGGTCGAAAAGACCAGGAAGTATGCCAAATGGAAGGCCGTTTACATCAGCAAATGCTTGAAATCTGGCGAAGTTCCAGTAGGTGGTCCTATTGCTAACACCGAAGCTGCCTACACCCCAAGTACGTTATTCTTTTGTATGTATAATAATTGAATTGTTTGCTTAGGACTTTGTTGCATATCAGTAGATTTTCTTGATTGCTTGTAAGGGAACCTTATTTGACACTCATTTACTTTTTGTGTCTAAACCGTAGTAGTTTCATTTTTGTAACGGAACTCATGCTCTTTAGTTGGTCCAGATACAGAAGCGCTACTCTTTAACCTATTTCGATAACATTATATGTGACGTATACTAGTTGTGATTACAGCTTTTCAGTTTTCTAACTCAAACCAACTGGTTTTTACTAAAGAATTCGTTTTCTCTGCCTGTTGAACAATTTTTATATGTGACATTCTGATTGCATTCACTAGCTTTCTTGAGTATACATAAGAATAAATAATTTGTACTAGTAGTTTGTGTGTCTAGTTTCATATATTTAAATAACTGCGTATTAAAATTCATACCCATTTGAATTATGCACGTGCATAAATATTCAAAGGTAATTTCCATCGCTAATTGACGTATTTTAGAGAAATTCTCGAAACTTGGGAGCACTAAACAGTGGATTTCTTTCGGTTTAAAACTATTCAGCAGTATGTTACCGTAATCCTACTCTGAATCTGTCCCTTAACCATGAGGCTTTACAGCAAAATGGGGAATCATAATTCATTGGTTTATATTTTCATGTTCAATCAATTTGTACAATAGCTCAATCCTCATCTAATGTCATCAGGGAGTCTCTATTTTTTCATAGTTCAGTTGACCTCATAGATCGCAGTCCCACATCATGACGTCTGAGAATTCATCTCGAAGCTACTTGCCAATCAACACAAAGTTATGGTTTAGTGGACTAACATCAGTTCATGATAAGTTCCCTTCTTCACAAATCCTCTTGGCGATACTTTCTTTATAATTCACATTGATGTGTAACATAAATGAACCTCAAGTTTACTCAAACTGATTCAGTCATGTTCGATTTATGGTATTTTAGTTTGAATATTTTTTCACTGATCATGTAGACTTTAAAATTCATCAACTTATGCTTTACGTACGTACGAAGTTCTACGTTATTACTGACTGACTGACTATGCTTTAAGCAAAGTTAAATAATGCTGTTATCAATATATTTAAGGAACAATAGGGTTGTATGTAATTGTTTCACTGCTTTGTAAATAATATTATTATCTTATTAAGTAAAATATGGATATCAATTTTTGAAGACTTCAACGTTTATATTTGTGCGATAACGTATGGAAAGTTGATTACCATATTCACTCTGATGATTTTACTTATCCGATTCATATACTTTCTCTATATCTATTCAACTTTTAAAACATTCCTCTGGAAATAGCTTTTTGCCTCACTGATCTTGGAAGGTTGGTGTCGCATACGGAATTGCTATTAAGTCGGAACCCCTAAATATATTAAGTAAATATTTTCTTAGTAAAATGTTTTCTTAACATCTTAGTTCTCGTTTCTCACCTATTAAATGTTACTTGATGGCTCAGATTTGTTCGATACTTACACCTAGTTCGAATATAAGAACTCATTATCTTCTTCGCTAAGCATATCACTAATGACATATTTTTTGTATTGGGACAGGAGTATAACCTCCTGCAATATGCTTTGTCCTAAAGGACATAAGAAGGTTATAAGAGAGTAAAACATTACCCTCACGTGACGAGGCTAACTAGTGACAAGTATTAATTTTAAGCAGTGAGATTATATTGGTTATACTACATACATAACGAATGTAGGATAAAGTGATTTATTAGTATGTAGATATGTTTGCTTTCTGTAACCATTACTTTCTAATTTGCTTGTGTCTTTACAATTACTTACGTCTGTTACCTTTCGTGGAGTAGCATAGGCCGCCCACCAGCATTCTCCATCCACCTCTGTCCTGGGAAATTCTTTCCATTTGCTATTCATCCTTCTCACTTCTTCCAATTCTCGACACAGTGTGTTCCTTTGTCTTCCTCTTTTCTGTTTCTCTTCAGGATTCCGAGTTGGCGCTTGCCTTGTGATGCAGTGTGATCATTTCCTCAATGTATGCCCTATCCACTTTCATCGTCTTTTTCTAATTTCTTAGTGAGATAATTACTGATTTTATTTAATGTTAATATTGCCAGAAGGCTGATTACCCTTATTTAAACTAGTCTAGACTACAATCTTGAAATAACCGCCCTGTCTTACTTCACTTTTTTATTATCAGGGTGTTCATTTCTTATTCGTCTGCCGTACTGTTAAGACGATAATGCAAGCCATTTGGAACTAATTAACTTTTCATTCGATTAAGTTCTTAGACTGGGATTATTGAACATTTATATATAGCCAATAAGAGAATTCATAACGGTACATACAAGAAGAAAGTTCTGAATATTTAATTAATTTTTTTATTGTTTGGTTATTTAGGAAAATTGTTAAAGATTGTTGTTGTAGTGACAAAATGTTTTAAGGTTTAGATAGACTTTTTACATGTGTGAAGCATTTATGTCGGAAAGTTGTGATGATCGATGTAATCTCTAAGGGGCTTGTCAACCATAATCTTTTGGATATGAAGATAACATTACCCTGTTCTCAGAAAACGTTAACAAAATAATAATAATAATAGTGTTTCCAACTTGTACATATTGATCAGTAATTAACCTTCAGGATAGCAGTGCAATTTCTAATACAATAAATGCTTACATTTTTGAAAGTGTTTAGTGCAATGTGATATGATTGAAGGTAGGATTAGAAGTAAACATACTACTAGTTAGTTTGGATATATTGGCGTATAGCTAGAATTGTAAATAATTATGGAATTGTATTTGTTTTTATTCGGAAAATTAGGTGGTAATTTAACCTTTCACAAAATTCTACTTAGGCAGTACGACAGATAGTTTTATAACATTTATTTTAAGTTTTCATTTGAAATAATTTTACTTGTGTAGATATTTCTAGACTAACAAATACAAACAATCTCTGCAACAATGAAACAAATCAACCTCATGAAGTCCCCACCACTTGCATACCTAAACAACCACCTAGTCCTGATCCATCTGCATCTGATAATAATATTACTACAAGAAATTGGTTGAATGTAGAAAAAAATATCAAATGTGCATTGAGTGCATCAAATTATCAGGATAGAGAAACAACCGTGAAATACTTGAAGCAAGCGTTAACATCACTTGGAGTTGATATCTAAATCTTAAAACAGTGTTTTAACTTTAAATTTACAGTGCAAAGATGTATTTTATAGTGATTGGAACATTGTCCCTTTTATGTGATAGTTTTTGAGAATTTATTACTGATATTTCAACAAAGTAAGCTACGATTATTATGATGATAAGAAAAACAAGTATCGTTCTGATTTTATTTACGTCCGATTTTTAAAATGAAAATACATCGATTAGTTGAGGCATTTTATTTCTTGAGACTGTCACATTGGTTCAGGGGATTTAACTTCATTACTTTTCGATATGCTTAAGAGTAGTGAACTTTTTTGGTATCGGATAAAAAACCCAGTAAATAATTTGTTGAACAAATTCTGTATATATCTGGTTCTTTATAATAGCTAGAGCTCCGGATTTAGTGTTTCTTATTATCTTTGAACTACTGCTTTATGGATTAAGTTGTAAGTGAAACTGGTAAAAAATATTGTGCGTATTTTACAGGCAATCTGTAAAAAATTATTTTTACCTGGTTTGTGATCAAGCCTCTTTCTAAGGTAGAAAGTTTTCTACATTCATTTAAACAATATACATATGACAGAATTGTATCAGATGTTCTGTTATTATCATCTCACTAAGGCAACAAACCTTTTTCACTGTTGGTTATGTAAGTGGCCCTATAGGTAATACTCCAATAACGACAAAACATTTGAATGTAATCGGTTGCTAGTGTTATACTGTTCAGGTAGATCATAACTTGTTTTATCAGCGAGTAGTCCCTGGTAACATTAATGGCTATATATTTTCGAGATACGCATGTAGATTCTGTGATTTTTTCTTAATTATTGAGAAAAAATAATTTAGTTAACCTAAAGCCGAAAGCTTACTAAGTATCTAGGGTCTTAATTTGCGGATCACTGGTCAATAGTAACATGTTTCCGAAGGTTTAAGTTAATATCAAGATAAACTGTCAAAGAAACTGGAAGGTGGTTTTAAATATTAACTTAATAACATCCAGCTAAATGTGGTGAAATAAAACAAAGATGTACAGCGTGAACAACTATAGCTATTTTCAGTAATCTACGTAGCAGCATATATTTGGTGTGGAAATGGTGGTGAGGATGCTTTACGTGTGATACTGATGGTCAATAAACAGACAAACCTGTTCACAAAGATAATATTATTTTGAATTATTCCTCTGCAATATTGACATGTTTCTGACTTCGGTGACGATCTGTCAAATATAATACAAAAAGTTATTGCCCACTCAGTTATATTCATTCCGTTTGTAATAATTTCTCAAATATAACGGGAGAATAAAAATACTTTATATTTAGCATGACATACTACAATGGGCCTGACAACTAAAATTATCCTGCCACCAAACTAGATACTCGGTCGATAGGCTGCATACAGACTGGATCGTGTTATACCAGATACACGATCAATTATAGAGAATCAGAGTATATTCCAAACGATGTTCAACACAAGCAGTGTATACTCGGTGAGCCCAACTTTATGTTGACTCATGTTGGGAGTAATTTCCGTATTTGATGAAATTTCAAGATGGTTGTTAAGTCACTGACAGCAAGATTCCCTAATTATATCACGTTAAAAGTAGAGATAAGTTTTTTATTATACAAATGGTGGAGTTAGTTGCGTTTTTGTAGTACTACTTTAGAAACTTTCCTGGCTATCTCTGTCATTCCTGTATAAATCCCATTCCGCACCATGTTTTAGCATCTTTAAGTCTATTATTATCAGACTACTTATTTTTAAAAGATTTCTGCTGTGCTAAAGTCGTCTGTCTTCGAGATTCAAGACAATGCTTCTCATCAACAAGCATCTTGAGGGTTACTGGATCATGTGATGAATACCATTCAGAAGAAATATGGACCTATCCACAACGCATTATTGGGCTTCAGCAACCTCATAAACTTCGAAATTTTGCATTTATCAGATGTAGGCTTCAAGTTGTAGCGGTATAAAAGTTCTGTTAGCTGACAGCTCAGGAATAAATTCGCGGTACGACCCCTTATATTAAGTCAAATCAGTCAGCTACAACGTAGGACCAGGCACATATGTGCATCGCTCCAGGTTGCCATACCTCATTAGCACAGCAAGATGAACACCGGATTCATAGCAGTGGTTAGGTCAAAGGTTGCAATAAGGATATAGTATAGGAGGAAAGAATTAGTTCGTAGACAGAAAGAATGAAGTGATTTTAGTCTCTTAGTTTAAGGGAAGACAGGCAGCGTATACACCGACGCCATTGTGATCGATTCTGAGCCATGTCACCAAGAGTCTCCAACCATTGGTTACGAAAGTCATGCGGACCCCAACCAAGTACTCTGGATCTACCAACATGGCTCAGACTAGAAGTTAGTGACTTCAGGCACTGATGCCACGTTTTGGTTTGGCCGCCCCTAACTTTCTTCCAACCATCCCCTACCCCGGTTAGCATTGCACGTCGTGGTAATCGGTGTTCAGGCATACGTAATACGTGGCGCAACCATCTCAGTCGATGAAGATTCACAACCTAATCAACTGATTTACCTTGTGTCTAACCTCACTATTACTTACTCGGTGATTCCAGAAGACGCCAACAATATTTCTAAGGCATCTGTGGTCAAATACTAGTAGCTTACGGGTGTCTTCTACTCTTAAGGGCCATGTTTCGCTGCTGTAAATTAAAACAGAACGAACTGCCGCGCAGTATACTCGTCCTTTTATTGATAGACGGATATCTCGCATTCGCCAAAGGTGACGTAAGTTGGCAAAAGCCAGACGAGCTTTTCGAATCCGTGCTGAGATTTCGTCAGACACCAACCCATTAGGGCTGATCAGACTTCCAAGATAAGTGAAGTTGTCAACGCGTTCAACTACTTCACTCCCCATCCTTAGTTCAGGTGTTGACGCAGACCAGTCCTGAAGCAACAACTTGCATTTAGAGGGAGAGAAGCGCATCCCAAACATTCTGGTATTGTTGCTTAGTGCTACCAGAAGACTCCGCATTTTGTCAGCGTCTTCACCAAACAGGACTATGTCATCTGCGTATTCTAAGTCGATAAGTGGACCTCCTGGAAGGAGATCAATACCCGAGAATTCAGTCGACGAGAGTGTTATTTCCATCAGTAGGTCTATGATGAAGTTAAACAGAAATGGAGAAAGTGGACAGCCTTGACGGACACCACTTGAGGTTGCAAAAGTAGATGACAGCTCGCCATAAGCCCTGACTCGACTAGTAGTGTTCTAGTAAAGAGCCTTCACAAGGTTTATGTACTTCCGAGGTACGCCTTTCAATGACAGACACTGCCACAGAATCTCGCGGTCTACCGAGTCAAATGCTGCTTTTAAGTTCAGAAATACCACCATCGTCGGACGCCGATAGGTATGCCTGTGTTCTAGAACCTGACTTATGGTGAATATGTGGTCGATGCAGCCACGACCAGGTCTAAAGCCAGCTTGGTTCTCTCGAGTTTGTAGTTCACGAGTCTTAGTTAGGCGTTTGATAATTATCGAGGCCAGTATTTTAGATACTATGTTTGTTAAACTAATCCCTCTGTGGTTGTCACAGGATGATTTTGACCCTTTCTTATATATTGGGACGATAAGTGATTGCGACCAGTCAGATGGGATAAAGTTTAATTCCCAGATCTTAGCTAAAATATTAGTCAACTTGATCGCTAAAATTGGACCACCATCCTTAAAGACCTCTGGAGCCAATCCATCTGGACCAGCTGCCCTTCCTCGTTTCAGATTAACTATAGTCTTTTGAACTTCAGCAAGAGTCGGGGGACCTACTTCAATGTTCCATTCACACTGTCTGGGAATGGAGGGTAGTTGTAGAGTAGCTGGAGGCCAGCTGAACTGTTCCCTAAAGTGTTCCGCCCATCGTTCTAAACGCCTGGACTTCGAGCAGATGAGTGTATCGTCTTTTTCCGATATAATCTCACTTACACTTGACTTATTAATTCCAGTTTCTTTTATTAGTCTGTAAAGCTGTCTTGTGTTCCCTATAGTCGCCGCCTTTTCCATCTCTTTTGCTTTCGATGCCCACCACTGCTCACGGTCGTTTCTTAGGGTTTTTCTTAATCTAGATCTGATTTGTTTTCGCTCTTCATCATGTTCGGAACCTGATGGGACGAGTTTGCGAGAACCCATCAGTGTGACAGACCTTGAAGAAATCCACTGGTTCCTTGCAACTCTGTGGTTTAAGTCACTAATAGATGTCACTGCTGTTTCCACAGCTGATTGTATGCCCTTCCAAGCAACATCTGGGTCAGCCTCGTCTTCACAACTACCTAAGTGTGACCTCAGTTGTTCCTGGAACCTACTTTTGGTTTTCTCGTTACTTAACTCAGTTCTAACGGGTCTTTTTAATGTGGCTTTTTTGCGTCCAATGAGGCACAAGCAGATGCGTGCCCGTATTAGGGCGTGGTCGGAGTCCAAGCAGGTACTCCAGAATGAGCGACAATCTTCTACCGACCCTCTCCAACGATGACTGATGGCAATATGGTCTATTTGAGTCCATCGTTGGTTTGGTGTCGGGGGTCGCCATGTTAGACGATGTCTCTCCTTATGCTTAAAATTTGTGTTTGCTAAAAATAAACGATTGTCTGAGCATAGCTGCAGCAGACGATCACCATTATCTGTTCGCTGTGTCGGAATACTAAAATATCCACCTAAATGCCTTTCTGTTTGGTTTAAGCTACCTATCTGAGCATTAAAGTCACCCCCTACGAGTACTATGTCTGAGTGTTTAGCTTTCTGAAGAAGTTCGGACAGCTTTCTGTAAAATTCATCTTTCACATCATCTGAGCTGCAGTCAGTGGGAGCGTAGGGAGAAACGACAAAAAGGCAACGACGTGTGTCCCTATCCTTCCGAGTTCTTACGTAGCCGTTTAGCCGAACAGCACATAAACGACTGTTGACGGGGATCCACTCTAGCAGTGCTTGTTCGACCCTCATGCTTAGTGCTATGCCTACACCTGCCAGTCCACGAGAACTTGCCATCGGGTCACCAGATACACGA